TACAAAATTTACCTACCCCTACTTAGCATCCGTAAAAAAAATTCTATCCCCGTCCCTGAGTATGCCAAGCTATTACATTACGAACTATATATCTAATATATATATATGTATCTTGTATATATATGTATTTTGTTTACCTCTAAGTCCTCCTTCCTTTGCAGGTTTTTATCATTGTCTGATGAATAGCCGGACCAACAGTATTTCGATATGAAATATCGCATTTTACTATACATTCCAATGATACCTATAACGCAAAATGAAAAACCTATTACAAATTCGTTTGATAAATACATTTTTTATTAAACTTTAACAATCTACAACTGTTTATTCATAGGCTCGTAGTCAATAGTCATGAATTTGTATAAATAATATTATTATGATGTTGCCATGCTTTAATATTTAAACCAGATAAAATATAACAAACAATTTTTCGTTTAATTTGTCAAGTGTTCAGTTTAAAACTAAAATATTGTTTTGAAAATCTTTATATGTATAAACGATGCCTATACCTTATAAATAGGTATATCATATTTTTTTATTATTTAAATAATAGAATTATATGTGCAAAACAATTTCAATCAAGTATAAACGATGTAATATTGCATAAGAATATGCCATATTTTTTTAATAAATAATAAAAAAAGTGGTGGGTAATAAAAATTTGTCTATTCTATATTTGGGGACGGCTTCATAAGTTGTATTAAAGAATGGAAAAATTCTATTCTCCGAAAACATTAATATAATATTATAAATTTTATAGTTGAATTACTAATATAAGCGTATAGATATAAGATATTTGTTTCATACTTGTGTATGAAGACGATATTGAAATTTTTAGATTTAAAAAGTTAATGAAATTACGAGTATAAATTTTATATACAAAAAGTTATTGACTTATTTTCTATTCGTAGAGTAGTAAAATCTATTGTAAAACAATTCAAACATTTTCAAATATCGTTTATTGCAAGAAAAATTAAAAAAATAAAGCAATAAAAAAAAAAAAAAATTCAATATAATTAGTGTTGTTTATAGCTATAGAGGAGAATACTACTAGTAAAAAACCACTAGGAAGACAATTTTAAAATCAATTTGAAAGAGATCCAACAAGATTTTCTATGGACGTAGATGTCCCCAACCACCCCAACTCCACCTTATCAAAATGTTAGTACTTTTTAGCAACATTTTGTAAGATTATTTACAAAATTTGCGCGTCTTAAGTTTCATTATAAAACAAAAAAAAACTTAGGGTGGGGCTGAATACTTATGTTTATTATTTCTAAATTGATTTACACATAAATGACTTTTAACAAAATTAAAAGGATCATGAAAACCAATTGGAAATAAAAAAAATAAAAATCCTAGTATTTTACAATAATGCATTAATAAAAATTACCAATAGATAATGTGTGGTAGTGATTGCAATAGTAAGTACCATTAATATCTTCTCGTATATATTTACCTAACGTCATCACTGCTTTGGGAAATTAGTTTAAAAATGTTATAAATAAAAATATATATCTATGAAGTAATTATGATCTATACGTATTAGGTAAAAGTAAAAAACATAAAAATATAATCAAACAAGTAAACATAATTATTAATATTAAAATTGTATTCAGCAATTTTCTTACATTTTTACTTCGTATAAATTAGGTTTAATAAAACTCTAAATTATCTTTAAATTTAATAACTATATAATGGCTTATCGAATCCCGAAAACGTATTTTACGGACGAAATCTTCGTTTACAAATTTCAACCATGACTTTACAAATCGTTACTTATTGGCTACTAAATGGGTGGGGCTGAGGACATGCACATCTTAGATTTCCAATATTTGAGTCATTTAACTCCCCCGTCACTTTCAAGTGGGTTTCATTGATGAAGAAATACTTAGACATAAATTAAAAATGCTTTTCTACGTTTTTTTATCTTATAAATGTGGAATTCAAAGAGGTCCACATCGTTATAGCAAAAATTTCAGTTTTATTTTTTTAAATATTATCTACTATAAAAAGATTGTGGAAAGTATCTAAATCTGTCTCATACATAATTTAGTTGGTAAATTAAAAAAAACAGACTCTATTCACGCATTGAAAACGCCAATAAAAAATATAAAAACAATAAGACACTTTTTATAGTTTTAAACTATCAAAAGTACCTATCATAATAACTAATAAGATTGTATTTTACATTCACCAGTTTCAAGTTTGTCTAACTAATTGTTAAATTTAATGTCTTCCAGTAGTTCAGTAACTATGTTGTTATCGATGTATTTAATTGTAAATTTAAAGATATTAAAATCGAATGTAAATTAAAACAATATTAATTCATCATGTTTTGTTTTATAGGTAACTACACCATCCATAATATTAATAATTTTTATCTTACAATGTAATTTTAAATAATTATGTTGTTAATGGAGTTTTATACACCGTTTAAATAACTATTATTTATGTAGGTTATACTGTGGTCTGTGAGTATTATAAATTTATATTACTTCGTAGAACTTATGTATTCATTTTGGTTTGTGTATGCCATATTAACACATTGCACCAGGCACTGTCGTTCTGCCTTCGCCTCGCAACAGTCGTTGAAATTAAACATCAAGTATTAAAGTAAGTACCTACCTAAGTAATGAATTTAAATATCAAACTTAATTATAAGTTATAACGTACATTGGCCGTTGCATCAGCACATTACTCAATTATTATTGTTCTATGTTATTACTTTATTATAGTACGCGAGGCGAAAAGTGAGCCACGATCGTCGCGCGCCAAACGGTCATTTTTTCTGGTTTCATGGGTTCTACGTTTGTGTGCAATGGAAACAGCTGGCGCGAATTTTAAAAACGGCAGGTGGTAATTTATTGTACAATTCATTGTATTTTGGAGACCAATTTATTTTCTTTTAGCAATAGGCGCCAGTAGCTGCTGTTGCATACCACAATATTTAATATTTTGTTAACGTTTGGTTAATCATTCGACATTCGAGATATGAGTTTACACGTGTTTTTATTCGCTTATTATCTACGTTTGTAATCATATTTCCCGCGTTCTTACGTGGTTGGTTTTTAAAGTGCGCGCTTTTAAAGTTTGAATGTTTGTAGTATTTTAATTATTTTTTTAATAATTATTCGTATACAATAATAGTTTTTAAATGTCATATCAAGACACACATTATCAAACGAAGAAAGTTATTTTTCATGTTTATAATTATTTCAAAACATTGGCTGGTGACAAAGGTAAGTCAGAAATTAGTAATTTTTTTCGTCAAACTCGTGAAATGACTGCTGAAGCGTGTGGCGTAAGTCTTGCTTGTGTTAAACGAGTTTGTGCTGAAGGGAAAAAATTATCTGTGGGTGAAAATCAACTAGCTGCCGAACCTTCTTCATTTAAGTCTCCAAGGAAAACTTATAAATGTGCCAAACCTATGACCTACTTAGACGATTTTGACAATGAAGTTGTCAGAAGAACAGTTCATAGATTTTATGATAATGGTCAGTATCCAACTAGTGCAAAAATATTGGGAGCGTTGCATGCAAAAATTAATTATTCAGGTTCACAATGGTCCATGCGACATATTTTGCGTAGTTTAAATTTCAAATACAAAAAATGTAATGATGGCTGTAAATTTCTAATGGAAAGGAATAATATTGTTTGTTCTCGAGTTAAGTTTTTGAGAAAAATGAACGAGTTTAGACGTAATAACGATACAAGGCCAATAGTTTACTTAGACGAAACATGGGTAAACCAAAATCATACGCGAGGATACATATGGCAAAACTCCGACAACACCGAAGGATTAAAAGTACCTATTGGAAAGGGTGGTCGGCTAATTGTGTGTTATGCTGGGTCACCTTCATTTGGTTTTGTCAAAAATTCAAAACTGGTTTTTCGTTGCAAGTCGGGATCGCAAGCAGACTATCATTCTCAGATGAACGCCACCGTTTTTCAAAAATGGTTTATAGATATGTTGGGCAATTTAGAAGAACCTTGTATAATTGTAATGGACAATGCCACATGCCATTCTACCTTAACAGAAGAATATCCTAAGGCAAATACTCGAAAGGCAGATGTATACAAAAATGGTTACAAAACAAATCTGTAGACTTTTCTCCAGTAGAGACATTAAGCGAACTACGGGAAAAAGTCAAATTGACGATGCCGAAAGAAAAAAAATATAAATTGGACGATATTGCACTTCGAATGGGCCATGAAGTGGTAAGACTTCCTCCTTACCACTGCCAATATAATCCAATTGAATTAATTTGGGCACAAGTTAAGGGTAAAGTCGCGGAAAAAAATAACACCTTCAAAATGGCAGATATAGAAGTGTTAGTAAATAGTGCTTTAGATGCAGTCACAACAGAAGATTGGGCAAAATGTGGCGACCACTGCGATAAAATTCAAGAAGACGATTTGGTGAAAGAAGGATTAAGAGATGAAATTTTGGAGCCTACTATAATGACAATTAATCCCGACGACAGTCCTACTGACGAAGACGATGATGAGGACGATATGATTAATTAAAAAAAATGTATTATATGTATTACTTGTGTTATTTGTATTTTATTATTTTTTTTATTATAATTTATTAAAAAATCTACATTACGTCGTTTGAAATCACTTTATAGGCGGGAAAACAGTAGGAATAGGTGGAGTAACCCTGACGAAAAACAGCCGCGATGATCGCGGCTCACTTTTCGCCTCGCGTACTATATAGTGAACTGTTTGTGATATTGTGATAGTCGCGGGGCGGAATGCTTATTTACAATAATAATACATAATATGTTATCACTACGATAACAATTGATAACACAAAATATTATCAACTTTAAACGAAACTAAATCTATATCATTATTCATTATATTATGATATTGTTAGAAACGTTATTAGTTATTTAATTAATTCTCACGAAAATTATTAAAGCGAAGTTAATATGCACTTAAATAAGTAACACTGACTGTATTTACATTAATGCGTTAATATTTACTCCGCTATGACAGGTTTTTATTATTTTGTAATCGTCGGTCATGGTGACAATCCTATATTTGAAATGGAATTCATGTCTAGCAAAGAAGTTAAAGTATGTTATAAAATCAATTAACACTGAAGCTATGTATTGTGCACTCGTGTTTGTAATTTTAGTTTGTATATGTCTTGTTTAGTATAATGTATATAAATTAGCTATCAGCACATCGATTGTGTTAAGTTACCTATAATATAGTATAATTCAACTATAAAATTATGAAAATATGCCAATATTATTTTGTTAATATTTTGTTTCAAACATGCAACAATTATGTTATAATACATTAAATTGTTTTAACTTATTGTAACATATTTTAAATTAGTAGGTCATACATTATAAAAAATTTTTCTTGATAAAAATCAGTGACTACCTTTCTGTTCAGCGATAATAATTTATACGACTTTTAATTTGTAAATTGTTGTTTACATAAATAATTAAGTTTAATCAAATTACTATTTTATATAGGTAATTATGTCTTATAATTTTTAATATGTTATAGAAAGAAGACCATAGCCATTTGAACCAGTTTATAGCTCATGCTGCCCTAGATCTGGTTGATGAACTGATGTGGAAATCTACATCTATGTATTTGAAAACTGTAGATCGATTTAATCATTGGACGGTGTCAGCTTTTGTTACAGCCAGTCGAATGCGATTTATTATGGTACATGATTCTAAAAATGATGAAGGCATAAAAAATTTCTTCACTGAAGTTTATGAAATGTTTATAAAAGTAAATATGAATAAAATTAACATGATATTTTTTTCTTTTTTGTTATATTATGCAAATATTATAGCTTGTATGAGTGTTGGTATTATATAAAATATATATTATACTACATACATAAATGTAAAAAAATTTATATTGCCTATTTATTGTTATCCACAAACTTATCTTTGATGTTTTCTTTATACTTATTTCTGTAGAAAAAATGATTGTTCATTCTATGTTTTCTTTTGATTTATTTTTATGATGATTTTGTACAACTAAGTAAAATTACTTTCCACTTTATAATAATAATTATCAATCATAAAATTTTTTAATTAAAAAACAGTTTTGCTTATCTCATCAGACCACAATAGTAAGTAGTATTATTGGTTATATCTTTAAAAACTCTAAGGGTCGACACTATTCATTTTTGAAAGTTACATAATTATTTGGTGTGCAATATTCCGTCTTACATCAATTTAATCCAAATGCAATATGCTACGTTAAAAATATATATAATCTCTATATCAACACATTGTTTTTAATGACAGTGGGCACATTAAATGCTTTTAACGCATCTGACTTTGGTATCTAGGTGTATAGTAAAAATATATTAAAAATTAAAAACAAATAGTTTGGTTAGTAAATCTTAATCTGATTAGATGCATTTGTTTTCATCACAAACATATTTTGAACAAATAGTGTGGAACTAACTTTTTTTACCTACAAATTAAAATTTTCGAATTGTTCTTGAAAAGTTATTAAAATTTTACCTATGTAGCATATTATTAACAAAATATTTTACATTTGTATTAAATTAAAAACTTTTTTAGATAATATAACCAATTTTACCCTTTACAATCTTCTTACTAACTTATTTGTTTAATTTCAGTATGTAATGAACCCATTCTATAAGCTAAACATGCCAATCAAATGTGGATCGTTTGACAAAAAAGTACAATTCTATGGTCGTAAATATTTAGTCAACTAGTATTTTATAACAGATACATTTGTAATTATTGTGATCTTTATTTTTTTTTTTCATGTCAAAATATAAACTAATTTATTCTTTAATGTTTTATCAATTGTTATTTTTAATAAATTTTGAACATCTTAATTGATAGATATATTTTGTAAAGATATTTACATTCATATTATTCTAATAATTATTCTAAGTATGTATTAATTAAATTAAACACTAAACACTAGGGTTCATTTACTAATAAGTACATAAATAATGAAAATCAGTAACTAAATGTGTATAAACTAGTTTACTATAACTTATTAATTATTATTCAACAATAATGTCTATCTATAATATCAATAAGTAATATTTTGATGATACATTTAAATTCAATGATGCCATTTTACATAATCACTTGAGTCGTATGGTACCTGAAACATTATAGTTATGAAATATTATAGGAACTCAATTTTTATTTATATTATACCATTCATTTAATTAAGTAACATCATACAATTGGCATTATTAATAACCAATACTTATAAAATTATTATTAGCAAAATGTTTGCACTATATGAGTTATAAGTTGTATACAATGAATTAATTTAGTGAATTAACTTCACTCAGAATGGTTTTTAAGATACACCATCATTTTATATAAATATTACAAATAATTATGAGATTACATAAAAAATGCAAAAAATATTTATTTTTTTAAATATAATATTAATTTTGATAATTTAATATAACTTAATAAATTTATGTTTTTAAATTTAAAGAATGACAAAAATTTATGTTTAAATTATAAAATGTTACTAATCCATGTTAAGATATTTATAATTATTATTCATTTTGAGTTATTTTTATGTATTGTTTTATTTTGCATACCAATAAGATAGTTATAAAGAAAGTTGAGTTAATTTTTGGTTAATTATCACTTTTTTATTTTTAATTAATTAATTTATTAAAGATGCTCTATCGTTCTACTGAGTACTGTTCATTAATACAGTTGGCTATGAAAGGAAATTAAAATGTTCAATAATTAAAAGTTCATCTAGGTTTATAACAAACAATTTAATATTAATAAATGCTCATTATATTTCATGTTACCTATATTATTTCAATGTTAAATAAACTTACTCTTTCATAGTTGTCTATTTTTGGTTCAATTTTATTCATTTTTCTCATTTTTCCATAATTGTTATTGAACATAGAGTATCCAACAAATTTCTTACCAACAAAAAACTAATAGACAAAAAATAAATGTATGTTACTTTAATATTATTAAATAATATTGATATATTTGTATAAATAAAAAAAAATTTTTTTTAACTTAACATACCCCTCCGCAATTCTGCCAATAACATGTAAAAAATAATGAATTAATTATTAACACAGACAAATAGTTTAAACAATTTAATATTAAAATAATTTTAAAATAGTAAGTAAGGAATTATGTAAATACAGAATATATCAGTAAGTTGGAACTTTGCGCAATAAATTTTATACATGCCACTTAATATAACTCATAGATTTCTATACAACCTGTTCTTATGTTATACATTTATTTTAAAATATTGGTAGGTACTAGATAGTTAACTTATAAATTATAATCAATTCATATTTTAATATATTATCTTGTATGCTTATCGATCAAAAATCAAAACTCTTTAACTATCTATAGCTTATGCTTTTATATTGTATTAATATTTTATTAAAAACACTTAAATAAAATATGTTGAGTTAAAAGATTATATATTTAAATAACTTGTTATCCAAACTTGTTAGTAACCACTCCTTTTTATACCTTAATTCAAGGTTTTTCAAACTTTTTTTTTACTTAAAGGCCATTTATAAAAATTAATTACACTGTATGAGATATATGAAAATATATTTTAAATCACATTTATAATTTTTAGTTTCATAGAAAATAGAAATGTAACAAACCTTTTAAATATGTACGAACTCATAACAGTTGTTATGAAAAGCCATTGATTAGTGAAGTTTTAAGAATAATTTAAATTTAAAGTAGGTAATATATTTTGTTAAAAACAGTTTTGTTATATAGCTTTATTTGATATTGAATTCAAGGCATCAATTTTCATAGTTATTTTTTGTTATAATAGTTACTATTATTAACTAATAACAATATACTTTAATGATATTTATATGTTTTTAAAATAATCAAATACAATTATTCAATACTCACTCTACTGTCCAATTGGCACATCAATAAAATATTAATAAATAATGTATTTGTAATAAATAAAGATAAAAATATCAAAAATAATATCAGTTTTATAACTATTAAGTTATTGTAAATTATATGTATATTTAAGTATGGGTGACTACATTCTATTTTAGTTAAAAATTATTTTTTTCATTTGATTTTATAATGAAATTTAATTAAAGTTGTGCTTATACATTTTTATAAATCATTTAAATTAAAAATTAATAATTAACAAAGAAAATTGTCTTTAAATTTAGTAGGTAAAAAAGTATAATATAATTATATAACAAAACACTTATTACAATGCTAGCAAGAGTAGTACAATAATTATAATAAAACATAGCAGTTATAATGTTATTAAATGTGAATTTTATATTATTTATAGGTGCCCAATTTTATTATTTATGTGTCACTATACAATTCTATAAATTTATTGTTTTGTAAATGGAGTTTTTCTGTCAATAATGATAATATTAATAATGATTTGATTAGCTGTAATTTAATTTATAATAATATCTAAAAAATCAAATTTAAAAAAAAAATTACTTTATTTATCTATATGGTTTAATATTCATAAATGTACTAATTAGTATGCATAATATGCTTATAAATTAGCAGGGTAACTTGTATCTCTTCAGCTTACATCTTTATAATAAATTCAATTTTTTTTAGAGCATTCTTAAGTATAATACTTCCACATACTACATCCACATTAAGAAGTTCTATTAATTTATATATAGGTATTGTAGATCGAGGTGACATGAAACGATTTTGACATACTTTCGTATTCTAAGCTTTAAAAAAATCGCACTGGACTACAAAAAATACATAAATGTTTTCAAAGTCTCAATAATAGGATAAGACCTTCCATTTATTTTTTCAACCTAAACCAGCTTTAAAAATAAAAAATACATATTACAAGTCATCTCAATTTTTGGATGATTTGTAATAGGTAGCTAGGAAAATTTAATGTAAAATTCAATTCATGCACGTAAAAGTTAACTTGTAACAAAATATTTATTTTAAAAATCAATTTAAACAAATTTTAAATAAATATAAAAAAAGAAAATGAATGACAATCTTTTTTAACAGAGTACCTATTGGTACACATAATTTTAAAATAATAAATTAAAAAATAAATATGCAATTTGTTAAACATATAAAAAAAACTCAATAGAATACTTAATAACAAAATTTAATGCCTAAATACTATTGGAATTGAAATTGCCTCTTTTTTGATTTTTAACAAACATTTTTTTTTATGCAGTTTTGGTGTGACAAGTAACTCCCAATCTTTTTCTGTAAAATAAAACTTAGGTTATAAAATTGGAAAAAAATATTTTTAGAGTTTTAACTACAATATTCTTCTTTTGAAGTGTTCTTTAATGCATAAAAAAATATACAAAACTAAACGCGACTTCATTCACTAACATCTGAATCACTTGAAAAAATCACTGTTATTTATCGCTGGTAATTTTTTTTTGACAGTAGTGATGAGACTAATCACTTGGTTGAAGATAACAATTATTATCACATATATTATGAATTCATTTTTAATGGAGGTAGAATTAAATTATATCAAATATCTGGTAAACGGTCACTTTGTACTGTTCATTGTTTAAAATGCAGAACGCGGACACTTTGTACTATTATATACATAAAGTATATATTATAAATATAAGTTTTATACATAAATAGTAACTAATAATTAGTTAAGTAATAGTTTTTATTATTACAGCTAAATATTATTTTTATATTATACTACCTTTTGACATAATATTTATATTGTCATTTGACATTCATATTTAATATAGATTATAATATTATTATTATAATATTTTTTATTAGCTTATAATCTAAAAACCATAACATCTAAATACTATTTATATATTATACTACTTTTTGATATTTTTTTTTGGTTTTTTTGATATTTATATTGTACACAATTTTACATGTAGTTTGAATGATGTTATTGATTATTTGTTTATTTAGATTATTATTATTATTATACAATCAATATTTTATAACAATTTTTTCTATTTTAATAATTAACACTATACATAACTATTAGTTACTACTTATGTATAAAACTTATATTTATAATATACACTTTATGTATATAATAGTACAAAGTGTCCGCGTTCTGCAAAGTACCTTTTTACCAGACCGTACAAAGTGACCTAGAACCCAAATATCTACACAGATAATTTAATATGTTTAAACAAAAACCAAATTGTTTCATTTCACATCGTAGTTCCAAGTCACCTTGATCTACGGTATCTATACCTAAGTATGAGTTTTAATAATGTGCCTCATAATTTTCTAAAATTAAAATAAACTGTAGTTAATTATAATACTACACATCTCAAAAATATAAAACAGCACAATAGTAAAAATATTAAAATGCACTTATTTATTTATGAATACATTTTTAAAAGGTTGTTTTAAAACATTTTTAACAGTTTTGGAAAAAATTGTGTTGTTTTAAATTAAACATGAGATATACCTTTAATATTACCAGACAATAAATTCTACCTAATAAATTAATAAGTATGTATGTAATAACTTCAAGAAATAAAAATTAATTTATATTATAATATCATAATATGTTAAACTTACCAACTAAGTATTGCCCAAAAATCCATCAAAATGATTGCCATAACAAAATAAAAAAATGTTAATTTATTATAGCTATTTTATATTAGAGATTTAAATATTTTCCTTTAAAAAAAAAAAAATTTAGATATTTTAATAATAGCTGTTTAACAAAATAACTGCTCTTATTTTAAATTACAAAAAACTCTTGACGATTAAAATTAATTTTTGTACACATTTCATTTAAAATCATATAATATGCACGCTTTAAAATTTGTTTGAAATGTATTTACAAAATTACTCATTAGTATGCATATATTTAGCAGCATTTATCATAGTCCATTTAATTTTTATTGCATAAATACCATGGAATATTTTACAAAACACTTTTAATTAACTTTTCAACAATGGCAAGTTTTCCAAAAGTTCAAATATTATGTTCTATTGTAGTTAGTCATTAACAGACAGAATAAATACACACAATTATTCTAATATGCATTAGTCAAATTAAAATAATTTATTTAGTACTTTAATCATATTTTCAAGCATCTACAATATACACTAAAATAACTGATAACTTATAATGTTATATAATATGTTTAGTATATAACTATGTCTTAACAGTCAACATATTTCTATTTAATTAATTGTAATTTATTTTATATTCATGGTCTTATGTTTGAGCCAAGTAAAAAAGTAAGGATTTAATATTTAGTTAAAATATCTGCAGACAAATTTATATGGTTATAATTTTATTTTTTAAATGTCTTGATCTTCTTTTGAATCATAAATACTAAGTATTTGTTACAAAAAATATTAATTTCAAAAATTTCAACTAATTGGAATCTACATTTTCATTTTGTATATACTTACTATCTAGTATCTATATATATATAGAATTATATGAAACAATTATATTTTTTATATACCTATATATATATATATATATATATATAGATAAGTATATAAGTATCTGCTATTAGGTATGGAATTAGTAGTTGGTACATTAATTGAGCCCATTAATTAGTGTGTATTTACATCCACAAAAAATCTTCACTAAATATTGAATACCTAACAAATATTTACCCATATATTATAATATATATATATATATAAATATATTATGATGGATAATGGATATATCTGTAATCATTATATAGCTATATAGGCACCTATTTTATTATTAATGTAACTCTGTTATTGATACCTATTTATAAAAACAAAGAATCAAATATAATATGAGCAACTATAAAATGTATAGAATATTCATTATCTAGGTAAATAAGTAATCCATGTATTAATTTTTATTCAGAAATATGTAAATAAATTTGTGTTTGTGTAATAAAGTAGATACCTATACAAAAAGTAAATAACTTTTTGCGAACAATTTATAAAAATATTACCTTCTACTTGTACAATATTAAGTTACAATATTGTGATATTTTTTTCACGAGGTACCTACCTATCATAATCAAAGTTAATGTATTATAATGTTATAAGTAATATTATAGTACCCGTCTACCAACTAACACATAAAATATGCATGAGATACATAGAATATGTTTTACTATCTACTAACTAATTTCAGAAATTTCTAAAGGAAAATAAATTCTATTTCAGAAATGTAATCAATTAAAAATAAAAACCAAACATGTACCTATATTTTTTTATACAGGAGCTTAAAAAAAAAATTGATTTTAAATATATTTTAAATTAATCAAATACTTCCAATTAGTTATCCAAGTAAATTTAAAATGCATATATACACAAATTATTTAAGGAATACTAAATAATGACATAAAGCCATGGTACAAGACACTGGTACCTATAATAATATTGATAATAATAATTGTGTTCTATTCATAACTCAGAACACCTACGTTATGACATCATAGTATAATATTACTATCAAAAAACAAAATACTTTAAATAATAATAGATGATATTAATACAATAGTTATTAGGTTATTAATAATCTATGATGTTATGATTTATGAAAACTAAAATTAAAAAAAAAAAAAAGATAAAATATTGCACTAATTATTGGGGAGTATTGAAAATTTTAAAAATAATAGTAGGTAGGTACCTAATGGCTACTATGGTTTTTGAACGATAACTATACGTTTTTAGTCAAACGATTGAAAATACTTAAAATTCAACTAACCACTCACCGCTCCGGGCGCTTATCCAAAAAATTATTACCTACGATATCGAACGTATAATATTGCTATATAAATTAATTAGTTATCGAATGATTAAACACATTCAATTTTTTTTTTTTTTTGAATTAAAATTAAAATTTAATAAATAAGAATAAAATAGTAAAATAGGTACTTATATATCGATGTAATAATAATTAATAAATACATTATGCACATAAATTTGTGAGTGTGTATAAAAAAATCACATAAATATGTGATAAAAATATAGTCATCAATTATAATAATTAAATTATAAAAAGTATGGCTTAATAAATAACGCGTTAATAAATAATAAATTGTAATAAGTTGGGTAGCTAACTACCCAGGTTTAACTATACTTGGTGTTATAAACACCAATAATTCCTGAATAGTGTCAACTAACATGACGTATTCTAAATATTTTAATAAATTAACTGAATTATGCGTCATATAATTATATTTATTTTTAATGTTTACCGTTTTGTCTTCATTTTTTACCTTTTTCTGCCGTAGTTTAGTAATTCTAAAAATGCATCATTGACTTTCTTATCACTTCAAAATTGTAGACCAACAAACGACTTAAATAACCACTAGCCGGATCATCAAACTTTTTAAATATATTCTGAATTTGACTTTCGATATTTATTTGGATAAATAAGTACCGAATAAAATGTTCAATCATTCGATAAAAATTATTAAATATGGCAACGACCGAGAAAAAAAAATGATAAAGCCTTTTCAATTCTATTATAGTGTAGGTATTAGATATTCCGATATCAGTCATATTTTACCGAGTAACAGTATAATTGTAAAATATAAACCTAAAACAACAAATTCGATAATTACATAAGCTAGGTAAGTTTTAGGTAATATACCGGTTACCGGTATTGAATCAACTCTAGATAGGTTACCTATTTAAAAATCGTATTTTAAATTTTATTAACTGTTTTATGAAAATCATTAAAACAGTTTATGAAATATATGGTTAACATTTTACACTGTAAAAATCCAGTAACGCAAGGGAATTGTGAAAATGCATTTATTATACTGTTATTATACCATGGTCTATGGATATATTGTCTATATCTTGAGATGTTGAACTTATGTCATAAAATATGTAGGTCACTAAAAATGAGCTTTTTGTTTATCCTTATACATATTATTTTTCTTTATTAAAAAAAAAAAATATGTTTCAAAATTAACAAAATAACAGTGAGCAAAGAAATGAAGAGAAAATGCCTACTATCACAATATAAAATGCATTTATGATCTTAAGTTCTTACTATAACATAACAATACCGTTCTAGATACTTACTCTGCCTCCAAGGTTAGACTAAAAAAATGATCAAAATACATTTTTTTTTTTAATCATTAAAAATATAATAATTTTATTATATTAGATATAGACAATTTATTCTTAAGTAAAATAATATGTTTAAGAATTCATGAATTTTAGTTTATTTAAAAAAGAAATACTATAATATTATAGTTTCTAGTTAGTACATATTACCTTATTAGTACAAAAAAATACAATTAAAGAAATAACAAAAGAATTCATTCTCGTTTTTATAATTCATGTCATTTGTTTTATAAAGATATTTAAAAAATGTACTATACGAGAAATTACCAGAAAGTAGAATTTGCTGTCACTAAATAATTACTAACTAGGTAAGCAATCTTTTGTTTTGTATTTTTCTTTTTGTACTATAAACAATGGTAAAAATTATTTAGTACAGGTGTACCCTTAAACTGTAAAGATGAATAATAATTATTAATTGAGAACATTCTTTGAAATTTTTTCAAATATTAATCTTACACTTTTCCGAGTTATTTATATAAGTTATACATTTTTGTAAGATTTCTTTTTTGTTTTTTAATGACCAAAAATATATTACTTATTTTTTTACGCCTCAAATAAATATATAACTTAAAATTGTATTAAACAATTTAAGTGTAAATTTAATGCTGAAATAATAAACAATATGTACATCAATGGCTATGAAGTTTTTAATTTTCGCAGATATATACATTCAATAATCAACAGCATTAAATTACATATTATAATAATTTTATATTACTTGTATACTTATGTGTTTTAAGTTGTTATATTTATGGTTATAGTAATAAACAATAACAAATCACTTACTGCTCGTTTCCATTCTGATGGGAATAAACGTTTTATCTCTCTGTAAGCTGTATCTAAAACAATAAAATAATATAAATAGGTAGGTATCTATACTTGAAAAGTAAGAACCTGTTGACATAAATAAAATAAATTCTTTAAGTAAGTATTAATAAATATTAATTTAAAATGTTGAACATATTATTTTATATTTAAACCTGCCATTGATGAAATACTTAGGCGTACCATTAAAATATAATTTTAAGTGGATTAACTTTGCATTGCAATATATTATAAAAGATCCATCTATCTAATATGGAAATGATAACGGAAACAAAAAAGTATATGAAATATCATACCTTAACAACAGTTATAAAATAATATTTCCATTTTCGATAAAAATAATGTGAAATAATCTCAACATTAAGCCAAGACTTGACGCAGCATTCGGACCAAACACAGACACCACCTTCTAAATTTTAACTTTTTTAAGAAAATACGAATTGTTTGATTTAATTTAAAACATTATAATTAGAAATATCCATTAAAAGAAATATTTGTAATTAATACAACAACAACTAATGGCAGCTGTCGTCGATCTTTTGTAAAGATCAATAAAAAATAATAAGCCAGGACTTACTTATAAACAAATTAGCTGTATTATTGACTTTGTCCGGGTTAAAATTAATCTATTTCTCTATTGTTTTCCATTTTAGTTGAAATATTTATAATACTAACAAAATTACAACAATGAATTTTATGATTTTCTATTTCTTAATTCTGAATATGTTTTTGATGTTATCGCATAAAACTGGAAACAGATTCAACAAATGCTTATTAGTTGACGTAAATCGTATATTGTTAAGATTGGTATTCTTAATTAGATATGTGCTTACATAAAAAATATGTTTAGAACTAAGAAAACAAATTATAAAAGTAATCATTGTAATTGTGTTCATAAGTGCTCACCTATTATTTGATTTTTTTTCGAAATAAATTTATTTACATAAAAATATTTATACGATATCATAAATTATTACAGTAATTTAATCCGTACTAAAGATATAAACAATGGTTATCTTTTAAATTATCAAATATATTTTTTGATTTTCTTAAGCCAAAAAATGTGTAAGTCTCTGTATAGCAACTTATAGGTCTATAGGGGCTGAACAAATATGCTATAAAGATTCTCTGAGTCTTAAGAAATATATTGTTATAGCTTTTATTGAAAATGGTTTAGTAGTTTTTAAGTCTATAGCAGAGGCCAAAGAAAGATTTTTATACACATCGATAGATATTACTATAATAATTAATAAATAATGCGTGATAGTGTTAATACTCTAAATATTATTGATTGTGAAAACAGAGGTGAATGTATTTGTTTACAAGAATGTGTATGTGTTTTTTTGTGTAAGTCATAAGTTAATAACTTAAAATGTTTCGAAGTAATAAAAACTAAAAATGCTTCAATAATCTTCAAATTTTAAAGTGGTTTCTCGCATAGTTAAACAAAATAATTTTTAAAGATAATATTCCAAGAACTTTAAAATTTCGAAAAAAAACTAGATAATTAAACAAAAAATATAACGATCATTTATTTTGTCATAATTCAAAAAATATTATTTGTTGGGAATGTCGGGACTAGACCACTTTTGCCATTAGGTAGGTACGTATATTATTATTTACTAATTAGTAATTGCTACATGTATATTTATGGTATTCCAAATCCAATTAAATATATATTTACAAGCTTGGGATGCAAGTCAGTAATGCAATATACCTATAGACAACTACGAACATTTATTGTTCCTGGTTGTAGACATTCAGTTATTATATTGTCTTTAATATTCTGATAGACAATTATTAGAACATCTAAAACGTAACATAAGTTAAAACGAATGTCATATTTATACAAATACATCTTTGAAAATATAACTAATCAACATGACTGCATTTGGTATATTTTATATTTTTAAACTTGGCTGGTAACACAATATTAATATAATGTTTCTGTTTATTATATCTGTATATCAAAACAAAAATATTCCCATCGAGTTCCATCAGTACAGTCAATTATATAGAACATAATCAACTACGAAAATAGATTTAAATTTTTAATAAAATTTTTCATATAGTCTATATCGCCTTTTTCAATTTCATTTTTATTAAAGTATCAACTCTTTTCATAGAATTATAAAAATAAAAATAATAAAGTATTAAAAATTGTGACTTAAAATTTAATCTTTAAAAAAATGAAAATTAGATAATACAGACTGTTAGCTTTAGAAGTATATTTGATGTTTATTTAGGCGATTTTACTGTGATTTATGTGGATGCGTTGTGTGAAATTTGTACCAAAGTAACTATTTATAATTCATTGTTTCAACGTTGTTTATCTGGTTGTCTAAATGATTTCCCATTAATATAAGTCTCGAAAGAGTTCTTTTTTATATTTAGGTATGTATTGTTCAAAATATCCAACTCGTTATTTGCATCTGGTTAAATCAATTTTTTATTTTGTTAGATAGAGGCTTAGATCAGATAATATTAACTTCTTAAAAAATATTAATACCAACAGATTGTTGAAAAATAAATTTTTATTTATTATTATTATTATTTAAACAATTCAAACGTGTACAAAGTGCATAATATTATACGTATTTTATACTGTTTTAAAGATAATAAGAAATACCTAGTACTTGCATCTTTGATTTTATAACATGCAAGTTGCAATATACATCATTAATATTTAATTTTATGATTTTATTAAAAAAAAAAATCCATAAGCTTTCACTTTAAAAACATATTATACTATCCTATACATTTTTTCAAACGTTATTCACGTGATACAATATGACAGTATAATAATAGTGTAGGTACATACGATTTTAAACATAATTTTTATTAGGTAACTCTTTAAAAAAATATTATATAGAAATCAATATTTTTACAGATTTATAATGTATACTTAGAAAATAATAATAGCATAATTTTAAGTAATTATACGAAATTAAAATATTTAACTTACAAACAATATTACCATTGTTTGTATATAATACCGTTAATAATTACTCTATTAAAAGACAAAATCAATAAAATCTTTTATTTAAAGATACAATTTTACGGCTAACTGCAGTTTATATAACTATAGCTATTAGATTAAACATTAGAAATTAATCAAATAAATAACCATAGCATATTACTATCTATATACGCCATAATATCATAATATAATATAAACCCTTTGAATATTGAATATAGCTGTTAAAATGCATTAATTACCTTGAATGTAATAACGTCTTGGAGTTTGTACAGAAATTAATATTTATAATCTTTTATAAGATTGTCTGTACCATTATGCTAACAAATATTAGTAATTACTTATAATCTATACGAATGTACAGTGAAACTTACATAAAACAAAGTCTCACGGGGAACAAAAAAAATAATTGTAATATAGAGAAATTCGTTAAATAGAATTACATATTTTTTTTCATATTAATTTTTTAATTTAATTTCATATTATTTATTTATTAATCTCAATTTTAAAGAAATAATAGGTGAGTTTTGCTTTGGAGAAATATTTTTTTTATAGTTTAGAAAGTCACTTCGTTGTTCCAAGCTATCGATATCTCAGAAATACAATCCCGTAGAGTAAATGATGTTTTCTGTCCAAGATTTAAAATAACTTTGTTCAGAATACGTTTTTGATAACATATTTTTAGATTATTTATCATTCTTTTGTCTATTAGTAAGAGCTTATTTATTGTATTCGATGGAAAATATGCATGTGTAACAGATTTTAACTTTGTAAAAAGTGTACAAGAATGAGCAGCATAAATATCTACAAATTATTTTTCTTTTATTTTGACTTATTTTGTTATCAGTGATCACTTTCCAAAAATTCGTAACAAAGAAACATCAATTTCTATAGAAAGATAAATTTATGCATGATTAATAATGAAAATCATGGTTTTCAAAAATAATTAGTTAAACAAAAAATTTCGTTAAATGGAAGTTCGTTACATGGCAGTTTCACTGTATGTAATTTACCTTCTTAGAATTTTAACTAGCAAATTTTTATTTAATTTTAGATTTTAGTAGTATTTTGTAATTTATCTAAATTCTAAGCTAATAGAGAAAAAAATCAATTTTAGCAGTGCATTGTCCATTTATTCGTATACTCATATCTATCTAGTTATGATGATACAGTAAATAATGCTCAAAATGAAATAAATTACAAACAAATAATAATTTACATATTATAAGTATAAATAAATTGTATTTAAGCATTTGTTATTGTAAAAGCCACCATATTATAATTATAGTTAGCATAGCACATTCAGATGAAAGATTAAACAAACAATTAAAATGTTTGATGACATTTATTTAACACAATATTTTATATACCTATTTAATAATAATTACGTAACTGTATATTTTACCATTTCTATAATTGTTAGTCAGTAGGCAGTAATTCAACTGTTGAGGCTTATTTAAGTTAAACATTTTAAATAATATAGTTATTATAAAATAAATTTTAATTAAATTAGTACATACTAATTGTACATTTGAATATAAATGGTTAAAATACAATAACTACATTAAAGGTTGAGATTTAAAACGTTTTCATACAATATATTATAAAGTAATATGTATTATTAACAATTAATTGTAGTTTAATACGAAAATATAACTTTTATTGTGAACGATGTACTCTATGGTCTGTTAATGATTAAAATTAATAAATAATTTAACTTAAATTTGGATTGATGAACATTTAATCGCTCTAATAAATTTTTTGTTAAAAATAAATATTATTTCATCGGAGACACATAGCTGATTTTGACGTTATGAGAAATTCTATCTTAATTTTCAACATAACTTATGTGTACATACTTCGTAAGTTATTTATGTACTATAAAAATTGTCAGAAATTAATTTGTGGTTGAAATGTTATTGTTGCTTGAGGAAAAATAATACACAAGATATAAATTGAATGGTATTTAATCCTTAAAAGTCGTAAAGCTAAGACTATGTTTATTACAATATATAATTTGTATTTATATATGAACTTAAGTTTTTAAAATAACTATAATATTATATTTTAGTTTAGAAAAATAATTATACATATTATACCAAACATTTGATAAATTTAATAAGCATTTAATTGTATATAGGTATAACTAAAAATTGTTGTATAATGCACTCAAATTTAAAAGCTCAAAACATAAATGTTTATTTGAGCACCGAAACGTTACAAAATATACGAAACGATTTGCCTGACCAACGATAGTAGTATCTGATGCTCTTAATGTATAATATAACAATAGTTTTAAAAACATAATCAAATTAGGTATTTACGCCATCCAATATCTGACAAAATCAGTGGTAAAAACAAAATATTAAATTACAAGAAAAAAAAATAAAATAGCAATCGCTGAAAACAACTATTATTATTATTCTGTGTAAAATGCATTAAACTGATTAAATGATCTGTGTATATATGATATTGAAATAATTAATCACAGTAATTAAAAAATTGAAACAAAAATCTTCGATTTCAATTATTTTTTGGTATTGGATTCTTTATACCGATACAAAAATTCTTAAATTAAAGCTATAGGTATATATATATATATATATATATATATTCTATTTAAACTAAATATAATCATTTTAAAACGCTTAATCCTGTAGAGTTTGGAGCATAAAAATCATATTAAATTAACTTAAACTTTCAATTTTTAAATTCAATGGAATTCGCAGTAAATATTATCTTAAAATTTCAAATATTTTACCTATTTTTACAAAGCACAAATTAAATTAATACTTTTTTTATATAATTTAAAAATTACTTTGTTTTCAATAAATTTTCTAGGTACAAGATATTATATTGATTAAAATACTGAACGTAATTTTCAAAATACACACTCAGTATATGACTACTTAAGTAAATTATGTTTTCATTAGTTGACCTAAAAGCTTTAATATTAATATAATTATTATTGTAAAATATTCCGTCTTTTTAAGACACAGTAAAGAGAATTTTTATCAATAAAATACATTTTAGATTTTTTTTTAAGTTCTAAAAATTAAAATATAACATAATATTAATTTTTTTATTAAAAAAAAAAAAAAAAAAATAAATAATAATAATAACATAAAATATCAGATTAAAAGGAAACATATTATTATTTCTATATATTTTTATTACCTGCCTACCTATCTATTCTATTTTTGTATATAACTTAAACAAAGAATATTTAATTTAATATTCGTAATTTTTAATTTTTGTTTAAAAGTTATTTTCGAGCAAGGTTTTATTTGTTTTAAAGCCGGTAACGCATATTTCATAATTATATTATGTGATGTATTTATTAGATGTGTTAATCGTATTTACCGCTAAATGCCTTGCTTTTATAGTATGATTCATTTAAAGAATGCTATAAAATTCGTTAATCAAAAAAGTAAAATGATGTCAAATGTTAATTTATATTTTCTATGTTCTTAAAAGGTTATTTTATTATATTTATTTATAGAAACATAATGAGTAACTTGAAACCATCCATAAAAACTAAACCACAATACAAAAAAATAAATTATTTTTGAATGATTTTTATATTATAATCCCTAAATAATTCAAAACTGCATAAATTAAATAAATTATATAAATTAATGATAAAAATTAATATATGATCATAAATTATTATCATGGATTTTGAAATTCATCTATGATATTCGTATTAAATAATCTAAGTGGTGAGGTAAATGTTAAATCTTAATTAAAAAAATAAATCGATGGTACATTTTTACAATATATCAAACTAACATTGGTCATTAAAAATGTTGTTATAAATAATTATATATATATATATATAAACTATGTTTTTTTTTTTGTTCAAAAATTAAGTTTAAACGTTTATTAGCTATTTAAAAATATTTAAATTTAAATAAATAAATTTATAAAATAAAAACATTTTCAACGCAGATATTTATAATTTAGTTCAAAGTGTGAATTACACTTATGTTAAAACAAAAACATAAATTTAACATTCATATTATTTTAATGTATTAAAATAACCATATTCGTATTTAAGATCACAAATAAATACCTTGAAGATGACACTCCAAAAAGTTGGACGACGAAAGTCCAAAAATTACAATATAAACTACTGCAAAGCTGATGTGCTGCATGGTTGAACCTAGGCTTGAGTTTACCAAATGAGTGTCACTCACAAGAAGTTTTCAGTGTTTACATCGACAGTGGCGCAACCGTTCCACTACTTTGGCGCATACCCTTGCTATATATGTATACCAATATAGATGAACATGAATAACGAATCAACTATACCCTTTCATATATTGAATTTGGAAGTATAATTAGTTGTTTGTAATTATATTATAATTTAAAAGAATCATATTATAATAAAAATAAAATTAATTAAAATTTAATATTTATAATATATTATTATAATATAAGTATTAAATTGAATTATTTAAATCTTAATTTAAAACGCAATATTATTTAACTCGTATTAAATATGATAATTAATCGTTTTGAATAAATATTTGTAAAATATCATGTTCTAATTGTACAATAGTTTGTTTATATTTAATTTTTAATTTTTTTTTTTTTTTAATTTAAAATGACGAATTGTCTTAATTCAATATTATTAGACTTAACACAACGGAAGGAAGCAATATTACATTGTATACCTAATATTTGTTTTGATAAACGCAGTTAATATTATTAGTCTTATTAATTATTATCATACTCTTGTCTTGTAATTAATTTATACATTTCAATAGTTTAATAAACGTATATTTAAATGTTTTGAAATAAAATCCAAATACTAGTGATTAAAGTTATAACAGTGTCAGGAATATGACATAATATGTCACTCAAGTCGAATTTATACCAATCTACTATAGGTTATTAAAGGTTATTATTTAATAATATATGTTAGGTTCAAGATGTATAACATAATATAACAAATTGATTATTTTTAATTTGCATTAAAAAATAAAATTGTATATTGTGATATAACATTAAAATACATTTATTTTTATTTTCATAAATGCAACATAATATAATAAAATAGAATTTTGTGATTTCAAGCCCGTTGACCTCATAATATTTATATATCTCGTAATTTACGCATATTATGAGTACCTAAGTACCTAGTAGGCATCTATCGAATCTTTGATTAAGTGTAAAATATTTAAACGTAAATAATAAATACATCTTATGTAACTAAATTAAATTATTTTTTATTTTGATGAAATTGTTTAAACAGGTAGGTAGGTATATAATTTAATTAAAAATCAAAATTTAACTGCATAAAATAAAAGAAAATATTACTTATTATTATGTATTTTACTAATATAATTTAGAATTTCAATTACAATTTTAAGTTATATTTAAGACCTAATAGGTGTGAAATTATCATATGAATATATAATATATATATTTCAGTTTAATTTTACTGAAGAGATTTTTATATTAAAGATGTCTATTGTCCTATCGTTGAATTTTGCCAAAAGTATTAACAAATAACAAACAGAGTTTCAATTTAAAAAAATAAAATCTTTGAGAACTCTTGAAAGCTTAAAATTTAAATTAAGTTCCAGTATCTTAATTCCTATCTATAGATAAATTAAATATAAGCGTAACAGAATATTTTAATTAAGTTTCTCACAAAAAATATGCATTATTTCCTGTCCAGCTCACAAACCTAAAATCATAGATAAAATTGTTATTGACTAATTTCATCGTTACAAGATACCTATCAAGTTTCAAAATATTTAGATAAATTTTAAGCTATTTAAACTATACTAACTTATTTATGCCGTTTTACCATACGTCGGTAATGACTTCCTATAACAAAAATATACGATATAATATTTTAATATATCTATATTCGATGATTTTGGCAAAAACTAGTTCAACCTACTGTATTACTGATTATAGTCAATAAAAATAATATTTTTAGAAATAGATGCCAATATCCGACCCAGTGACTCACTGTTTCCGCTGAAAATCGTTTTTCTAATGTTATATTATCATTGACCTACACGATGACGAGTTGTGTTCAAAACATACTTTACGATAGAGCAAAGACCAACTTGCGCCTAGGTTTTGATAATTTTACGGCCTACGGGATTTATCACATTTTTACAAATTTTATTTATTTGTATGTTTTTGTATTAGGCCTAAATATAATACGAAGGTATGTAATCTTGTGTGTGGTTTAAAAGATAATTTGAGTTGATCATCTCTACGGTAAAGAGAATTATCTTTTTTTTTTTAAGTATCTGTGTTGAAATAAGATAAGATTTCAAACAGTGAAAATTTAAATTTATATTTTTTCGGAAACCTGATAATGTATAGTTGAATAATATCTAAACATGCTAAATAAACTTCAAGTTATTTAATTTGTTTTCTATTATTTTATTAATATGAATGTTGATTTATTTAAAAGAAATACCCAAAATATGTTTTTATTTAAAAGTATTATAATTTTTATATGGTAAAATAGTTTGCCTCCGAAAATAATACGGACAATATTCAATTTTATTTATACATATTGCATACCATTATTATCCCATCATTATTTTCAAAAAATAATTGTTTTAAATTGTTTCATGTTATTCTTAACTAAATTTATTATTGTATTTTATAAATTAAATTATTTTTACTTAAAAAGTACTAGACAATTAGATAGAGTAAAAAACCAATTATGTAAAAAAAAAATACGTTAAGTATTGAAATACATTTAATTGGCAATACAATTAAAGTATCTATCAACTACTTAGGTACTTGAGTATACCGTCAGTCATATTATTTTGAATGTACTTTAACTGAATATTTAACTAAAACGTTAAAACATTATTCAGTACTTAGGCAAACATTTTAATGAGATCATAACTTATAAATAGGTAATAGGTACCTTCTCCATATTATTCTTCTGAGCAAAATGGTACACTGCTTACACAAATGAACAATACGAGTATGTTAAATGTTTGAGTATATTTAATTTAAATATTATTCCAATTCCAAATTTAACACTAATCCTTTGAATATGAATAATAGCATGAAATTTATATTTTGATAAATCATTCTAAAAGCACGTACGATCATACAAATTTTCAATAGTAACAATAACGACAGAAATAACTTGTGCCTGTCTATCCCTACAATATAATCCACATAGGTAATATGCAAATTTAAAATCCATTTAGTTATAACTATAAAATAATCGCTAAGTATACGGTTCAATATTATTATATAAATTAAGTACAAAAGCTCCATCATATTCCATCTAAACCTAGATAATAATAAATTCGATATACAAAATATGATCGTTTATAAAACTTTATAAAATTTTACACTCTGCAGATATAAGAGCCTAGGATCTAAAAATTATGGTGATTAAAGTTTAATTTGATATTTATCACTTTTTCTTCATATTTAGACTAGTATTGAACAGTCATTGTTTTTTTGTAATATGTTTCACAGTATCTCATTATAATAATTAACCAATAACAATATATTATTAATATGTTCACAAACTAAATTTACTTTACTCTTGATTAAAATATCATAAAATATTAATAGCACATCATTTGACAATTAATAAAGTAGTAATTATGACAGTACCTAACGTTTAACGTTAAACCTAAAAAATAATATTATTACTGATGAAACTGTGCATTACAGTACTATAGTGAAACCTTTGCACTTGATTAATTAGAAGAAAAAAAGTATATTTTTTCATTAATATTTAACGGTCAACCGATCACTTAGACAAATGCGCACGTATTAATATATAATATCACATTTTAAAATAATATAAAAACTGTGGTTTAGATATCATTAAAATTATTAATATTAGAGGTACAAATATAATTTATAAAATATATATCCTTTGCTAGAAGTTATAAATTGAATTTTTGTTTTCAATATGATGATAGTGTCACAGTGATAAGAACCCATTATGTGTAATAATATTTTAACTTGGGTAAATAAAATACTTATTTGCCATTAAGCAAGCATAAAAGACAACATTTATCATTTAAACTGATCAAGTAAATATTGTGGGCGGTATTTTACACAGTATAAGATAATAACGTGAAACATATAATATACATATGTACATATAGAATATAAGTGATATAACTAAAATTATTTTACTATGAACTATTACAAGTATAAATAAATTTAAAAACACATAATTTGAAATTAAATTCAAATACTCAGAGTGATCAATCGAGTCATTTTATAATGAGAATATGGCATAAATTAACTATTGAATTTTCTTACATAATATGACAGTAACATTTAAAATAAATATCAAATTTAAATATTACTATGATTTTTAAAGTTTTTTTTTTTTTTAAGGATAATGTATGAATTATTTAATATTATAACGTAAAAAAAAAAAAAATCAATAATTAAGTAGATAATTACCTATATAATGACATGATTTAATTTAGTATTACTTATATACAAAACAAATAAGTAAATAAGTTTTAATAATTCCTGTATTAATAGGTACATACTTACTTGTTTAATTTGTTTGTAATCGTGACCGTATTAAATAATTATTACTTTGCAGTGTATAATTAAGGGACAGACGTCAGCAATTTATAAAAGTTTTTAACTTTTAAAAGATCAGAAAAGCTTCTATTTTCTCTTAGTAATCCGTGTTCACTAGACATTCTTATTTATTTTTTTTTTTTAGTTAAATGCGTGTTAAATTACAACTAACATTAAAGTGTAAAGACCGTCCATAAACAAATCTTTCTACAACGTAAAAAATATATTATAAAAATCCGTATCTACATAATATATTCATAAATAATCGTTGATAAAAAAGTATAATATTATACTTTGATGGTACCTATTGGACATTTAAAATGTGTTTTATTATTATTATACACTGCTAGCTCGTATATAGGCAGAACATAATGTTTTATATAGTTTTGAACATTATGTTCAAAGTGATACGAATAATAAATACAGTAATCGCCTTAGGCATAACAAGGTTGTTTTATTCAGACTAAAATGAACCGATGTAAAACGTCAAAGTCGTCATTCATTTTCTGTACACTAATGTACACATATTAATTTTATATGTGCTCATGCAAGAGACATTGATTTATAAATATTTTTTTTCGATTTCCATGTAATAAATTCACTTGACAT